GTCATCTAAAGCTTTAGTGAAGATAAAGCCTTTACTGCCTGTCTGTAATTCACTATGTGCGCCTGTGAACCCACTCCCGAGCTGTAAAGCTTATATAAAGCGTTACAGCTTAGCACCTGCTGGCAAAAATGCCCCATTTTGGGGGTAACATAGCCCAGCTTCCGCCTTCGGCGCAGATGGCGGCGTGCTGCCGGTTCAGAACAGGGTAGATATATCTTACAGCATGAAAAAATAAGATGAAATTGCTATGAAGGGCGCCCTCAATGTGCCCAGCTCCCACAGGGACGTGAGATTGTTCCTGGGGGCGCGCATGATGAGGCGGCGGCAGCACCGCAGGCGGCGCCCTCCCAGGGCGCTGCCGCGGCGGCCGCCATGGCAGCCCCGGGGCTGGCGGCATTGGCGGCAGCAGGATCCCAGCCTACCGGCACTCAGCCCAGCCCCACTGCCTCCCCACCCCCGCCTGCCCCCGCAGCAGAGCCCCACCCCAGAGCGCCGCGGAACGCTGAACTCCCTGCAACCGCTGTCCAGGCTATGCGGGCCGGCCCTCAATGTGCCCAGCTCCCACAGGGACGCACAGATGAGATTGCCAGCCTGCTTGCCCAGATGGATGCGCCGTTCACAGCCCCGGAGGCGGTGGAGCTGGCCAAGCGCACACCTGCGCTGAAGGCGGCGATTGGCCCCCTGCCGCCCTGGCTGCTGAAGCCAGCGATTACAGCCATGGCCCCGCTCTGGGCCGCCGAGGCTAACGCCTGGCGCCGCGTGGCTCGCCTTTCCCGCCCTGACGCCCGCAGCTCCATCACGATGCTGGCCAAGCCTGGCGGAGCCCCCGTCACGCCAGCCGACTTCCGCGGCATTGCGGTCAGCCCGGTGTTCCCCAAGCTCTATGCTGCGGGGCTGGCGCGGCGCGTCTCAGCGCATGCGGAGGCAGCGGGCACCCACGCCGACGGCCAGTTTGGCTTCCGCCCCGGCCGCGGCACCGAGCAGGCGGCCCTGGCGCTGCGCACGCTGATGGACCGCTACCGGCTGCTGCGCAAGCCCGGCAGCCGGCAGCGGGGCACCAAGCTCTGGGCCTGCTTCGTGGACTTCAAGCAGGCCTACGACCGAGTGCCACGCGAGGCGCTCTGGGCCAAGCTGGCACTCATGGGCTACAGCGGCGAGTGGCTGCGCGCACTGCAAGCCATCTATGCCGAGGTCCCCATGTCTGTGAACGTGCCCGGCATCGCGCACCGCCTCATCCACACCACCATCGGCTTGAAGCAAGGCTGCCCCCTCAGCCCCATCCTCTTCGACCTCTATATCGCCGACTTTGAGCGCCGAATGCTGGACGCGGCGGCGGCTGGCGGCTTCCACCTCCCCGAGCTTCTGCCTGGCTACCCTGCGCCCCCGCTGTTCTTTGCCGACGACTGCGCCCTGCTGGCCACCACAGCAGCTGGCCTGCAAGCCCAGCTGCGTGAGCTGGAGGCCTACTGCCGCGAGAACGGCCTCACCGTCAACGTGAAGAAGACGAAGGTCATGCTGCTCGCCGGCGCCACCAGCGAGGAGGCGGCGCTGCGGCGCGTGCGCAAGGCGCGGTTCACCTATGCCGGCAGCGAGATCGAGGCGGTGCCCGACTTCAAGTACCTGGGCATCACCTTCCACTGCTGCAAGCCGCTAGGGGAGTCTGCTGCCGCTGCCCGCGCGGCGGTGGCCCGCTTTGCCGCTGCATCGTTTGAGGCGCGATGCGAGGAGCTGGGCTTGGAGGCAGCCAAGCTACTGCTGACCCTTTATGACGTGCTTGTGGACTCTACGCTGTCCTATGCCGGCGCAGTGTGGGCCCCTGGGCTGGCGATGGCTGCGGCGGCACGCCCTGTTGTGAGCGGCGGCGCTGGACGCAGCACCCCGTTGTCGGAGCCCGAGCTGCAGCACCTGCGGTTCCTGAGGCGCCTTCTGGCGCTGCCGCGCAGCACCCCCGCCGCCACTATCCTGGCAGAGGCAGGCCAGCCGCCGCTCCATGCCCGCTGGCTGCGGCAGGCAGCCCGCCTGTGGAACAGCTTGGTGACCGCCCCTGAGGGCAGCATGCCGCGGCTGGTCGTGCAGGCAGCGGCAGCGGTGGCAGTAGATTGCGCAGACGTGCTGCCACAGCGGCAGCCTTGGGCCGCCCAGCTGGCGCACAGCCTCCGGGCTGTGGGCCTGACGTTTGAGCCGCTCCACATGGACAAGATTAGCCCGGACAGCGCGCAGCAGGCAACCTTGCGGCTCCACCTGGCGCGTGTGACGCAAGAGACGCCCGCCCACACCCGGCTGCGCCACTACTTCTGCGATGTGCGCCCGGAGTGTTGTAGCCTGGATGGGTATGGCCGCCCACCGTATGTCACGGAGGTGCGTGAGCGGCGCTGCCGCCGCGGCCTGACCGAGCTGCGCACAGGCATGCACTGGGGGGCGGAGGAGCAGGGGCGACGCACTGGCACGCCCCGCGAGCAGCGCGTGTGCCCGCACTGCCCCGCCCTGGATGGCCCTGGCGGCATTGAGGACACCCGACACATCCTGTTTGTGTGCCCCCTGTATGCCGCCGAGCGCGAGCGCTGGTCGGAGCTGTCCACG